CCTTGCGGATGGATCACCAGAGAGTCCAGTGTCAACAGCATCATGATACTCCCGGCCGTCTCTTTGGTAGCGACGAGCAAAAGGCAGAGCGGCTGGTGGATTCCTTGAACCACCGGATGCTAAGACCCAGTCATACCTGAGCTTACTCGTGGTTATTTGGAATGAGGGAATGCCTTACAGGGACTCTTGAGGTGATGATGTCAGGACAAGAATATTGATACCTTAAAGTATAGTCTAAACTCCTAATGTCCCTGTTAAAACTCCCCTATAGAATCCTCTATGTAACCTCCTTTAAGGAGTATCAACACTATGCGCCGCTCTTGTGTGACCAACCTAAACGTCTGCAGGGGCTGCCGTTCTTGTGGTCAACCTGAATCTGATCTCGGGTCTCTTTTTCTGATCCCTACACAACCTGAAATACTCCCACTTCCCATAGTAAGGAAATCCTTCCATAAGAAAGATCCATTGATACACCCCGCCTTGAAACAGAATACCCTTTGAAAGAAACCGCCAAAACAGGTCAAGTCCCAGTTGCATCAGGTCAGCTGTAGGCAAAATTCCCCTGCTCCTTTTTCATGCAGCTGTTAAAGCGACTCAATTTCGCGTCAATCTATTCAGGCCCTGGCAGCGCAGGTCAAGCTGAGAACATGACTGTCATGTGGCGTTCTCTGAGAATCTGGAGTTTCCCCTAGCAACTAGCTTCATCATCAGATATGGCCACGGTCTCATTTTGGGAATCCATATATCAAGGATTATGCCTGAGCTTTCTTTGGGGCCTCCAGTGCCTGTAGCTTGTCATGTCACCATCACATACAATCATGACGCGCATATCATATTTGCGACTGCGCACTTGCTGAAGAGCCTCCAGAAGATGTTGGGCACTGACACGGCCGTCCGGGGGGAAAACGAAGCAAAGCTCAGCAAGTCTCTGAACATCCAAACCTTGGTGAAAGAAAAGGCCTGACGCTTATCTTGCCCAGCTGTACTCCATAGGTCACGGGGTTTGGGACCTCATTCATGTGCTTCCATGGAAGGCTGTCAAGCTGAACAACTAAGCTCAGGACTCACACCACGCCTCAGAAGCACAAAGTGGATCAAGACCCTGGATGCATTGCAGTCTTGTCGTACGCTTCGATTGCCGTGCTGCTCTTCGAAATGAATGCCCTTCTTCCTCGCTTGATGCACCACTTTCTTGGGCATCCCTGCAACCTGGATCCATTCGATATACCGGGATCATCCACCGCTTCCTGGACCCTAAACCCTAAATCCTGCTTCCACAAAAACTAGCATTGTCTTGGCATGTCTGCCATGGGTCCAGGCGCCCGGCCAGTCTGTGAAGGGCAGGGTTTTATGAACCAACGTCTTCCTCACTGAGTGGTCCATCACGATTGTCTCTCCAACACGTTCACGCAAGTAGAGAAAATGCAGGGTTCTTGAGTGGGGCTAAAAACTTGCAGGACATGCTATGAGTCATGAGCGATAAGCTCCAGTCGTACGAACCCTATAGCGCTAAGCACTTCAAGCTATGAAGCCCTCAAATTTCCTTCACATCTAGACCTGAGCTGATGCCCAAAGCTTCTGACGGAACTTGCTGAGGGCTGCGCTCTTCGTCTAGATATTGAAAAATGGCTCGGGGGGCAGAGCAAGGAGGCTAACTATGCACGGTGATGCTGACCAGCTGCGTCATCACTTGCTGGATGGACGTGCATTCCTGCGGAATACTGGGTTGCTGTTAAGGAACTTGAATTAAGTTACCCTAATGGGTATTCAAACTAATTCATATGGCTTCCCCATTATAGTAACCCCCAGTTCCAATTTCATTTTCCATTGGACTCTCCGTTATAGTGGGATGGTAACCCTAAACCCTAAACTCTGTAATAAACCCAATATAGTACCTTAGATTAAGTTTCGCAACAGCAACCCAGAATAAAACAGCTGCTTCAAATATGGCACTAGCCAGGGTCGATCCGGGGGCCCTTCCTCCTTAATCATCCCTATATGTTTTCATTTTCCATTTGATTCTCCATTATTGGGGCAACCCCTATATAATCCCGACAGTTGGTGCTACAACGTGTGGCTCAGTACCGTCAGATTGTTTGGTGCAGAGCCGCACCACCTGTAGTGCCCTGGTCCTCGTGAGGCAATCTGCTCGAGATCACCTCCACGATCAAGCACCCGAGCGCCCAAACGTCCACCTCCCAACACTCCAGATTAGGATGGAGAGGCAAATCCTGCTGCCGTTGTCAACAAACTTGCAAATGGCTTGCGAGGTTTCTTCCTGCAATCTGAGTCGGCGAGCTGCATTCTTGGTGTTGAATGCCTGATGAACCCGGAGAAGCATTCATGGGAAGTGCCTTCTCTGTGATCTTGCCCCGGGAATCGAACAGTTCCGGTGCCATGTAACTGAGGCCAGGCACGAAGTTTGCAGCAGCAAATCAAAAATGCTCCGCTTGCAGGGGGATCAGCACGCAGGGCACGCGTGGGATGTGCCGGGGTCGTACATTGGTGGCCTTAAGGTGCTACTAGAAGTCGGCAAATTCCTGAGGCACCTACGATGTTCCAAATGGTAGCGGAGTTGAGGGCTGCAGACAAATTACAGTTGTCACCGTGCAACCCAAGTCGGGCTTCCGCATGCGAGAACTGTTGGCTTTCTGGCACGCGGAGACGTTACATGGTGCCGGTAAGGGCCTGGATGTTGCGTCCTGGACTGAACTGGTAAGGACTGCACTTAATCATGCCACTGCGATGGCAATTATCCGTTCTTCTGAATTTTGGACTGCAATGCCCACCATTCTGCAAGTGTATATGAACTGAGAGGCTTCATCGACTGTATTGCTCTTTAGAAGCCTACCCTCATATATAGACCCCAAAATACTATATATCTTCGACTTTCATTTAGACCTTTTCCCGGAGGGGCTTTTAAAATGCAACGCCGCGCTACAACATGTTTGCACGAACTTTCAGAGCACTGATGCTATCGATGATGATGCCGTGGGTTTTGTTTGTGGAGGGGCTTAAAGTTCTTAGGAGAAGCATCGTCCATTGCAATGCATGTTTCACTTCAGACAGAATTCTGCCATGTTGGAAGCTTTCCAGCATTGGTCCTGGCATTGGCCCCTGCCATTGCCAACAGGGCTCGGTGAAATAGATATCAAACTCCCCCCCTCCCCGCCCCCATTGGGGGTTTAGGATTAAAGGGGTATATAGGGGTTATTCCTGGAGTTTAGGGTTCGGGGCTGATGTTAAACCCTAAAAGGGCCCATGATTCAAAGTCTGAAGCAATAGTTGTATGTGAGCAGTGCTCAGATCCCAGTGTGCCCTG